AAAAAAAATAATTTGAAGGCCTTTCTTTTATTGTCTTCTACCTTCTTGCTCCAAAACCATTCTTAATTCTATTCCTTTGTTCCTCTGTGTGTAATCTATCTTTTCTCTCTGAAATACCTTCTCTTTATCATTAACATTCCAAATTTCCAGTATTCTGAAATTTTATAATAAAATCCCTTGATGGAGATCTTTTGTTTGTTTGTTTGAGTCAGGATTTTGCTCTATGCCCAGGTTGGAGTGCAGTGGTGTCATCATGGTTCACTGCAGCATCAAACTCCTGGGCTCAAGTGATCATCACACCTCAGAATCCTGAGTAGATGGGACTTACAGGCATGTGCCACCATGCCCAACTAATTTTTTCATTTTTTGTATAGGCAGGGTTTCCCTAGGTTACCCAGGCTAGTCTTAAAACCCTAGGCTCAAGGGATCCGCCCACCTTGGCCTCCCAAAGTGCTCTGCAGGGATTACAGGTGTGAGCCACTGTGACTGGCCCTAGGTCTTTTAAAATAATCATTGTTCTGGATGTTAGATGTGGACCCCTCCAATCCTGAGAATTGTGTCCTTCAGTTCTGAGAAACTGTTTTGTATTATTCCTTAGATTAATTTTTCCCTTCCTTCTTTCTACTCTACGGATTTTATAATCTCCTTTTCCTTTTTTTGCCTAGTTTTTGAGCAATTTTCTCAATTTTATCTTCTAGGCCTTCCATTTATGCTATCATGTTTCTGCTTTCTAGGAGCTCTTTCTTATCCTCTAATGGTTCCTTGGTTTTTGTTTTCATGTTATGCAAAGCAATGGCAAAACATTTATTATCCTGAAATGTGTACATCCTATTTTTTTTCAAGTAGCAAATTTGTTGGTGATGTAATTTATTTAACCTGTTTCAGTTGGACAGACTCATGATCATTGCTGCTCTGTATAATTTCAAGTCTGATGAGCCTCTAAGTTTTTTGTTTTTTTGTTCTTAGGAGACATGGTCTCACTCTGTTGCCCAGGCTGGAGTGCAGTGGCGTGACCATGGCTCACTGCAGCCTCTAGCTCCTGGGCTCAAGCGATCCTTCCAGTTTAGCCTCCTAAGTAGCTGTGGCTGTGGGCATGTGCCACATGCCCAGCTAATTCTTTTTATTTATGTACTTTAATTTTTTTGTTGAGATGGGGTCTTGCTATGTTGCCCAGGTTAGTCTTGAACTCCTGGTCTCAATCAATCCTCTTGCCTCATCTTTCCAAAGCACTGAGATCTTCTAAGTATTTTTACCCCACTTCTAAAACTTGATGAGGAATTCAAAATAGCACACCGCATTAAATGACATTTATTGTTTTATAAATTGTATACAGGTTGAGTATTCCATGCTTGGGACTCTAGAGTGTTTCCGATTTGGGATTATTTTGAATTTTTGAATATTTTCATTAAACTTACTGGTTGAACATTCCAATCTGAAAATCCAAAACCCAAAATGCTCCAATGAGCATTTCCTTTGAGTGTCATGTTGGTGTTCAAAAAGTTTCAGATTTTAGAGGCCAGGTGTGGTGGCTCATGACTGTAATCCCAGCACTTTGGGGGGCCAAGGTGGGTGATCACCTAAGGTCAGGAGTTTGAGACCAGCCTGGTCAACATGGTGAAACCCCGTCTCTACTAAAAAGTACAAAAATTAGCTGGGCATGGTGGCACGCACCTGTAGTCCCAGCTACTCAGGAGGCTGAGGCAGGAGAATTGCTTGAACCCAGAGGCAGAGGTTGCAGTGAGCCAAGATCGCACCACTGCACTCTAGCCTGGGTGACAGAGCTAGACTCCATCTTAAAAAAAAAAAAAAAAAAAAAATTCAGATTTTAGAGTACTTCAGATTTTGGATTTTTGAATTAGGAATACTCAACCTACACTTGTTTTTGTTTTTGTTTTTGTTTTTGTTTTTGTTTTGAGGTGGAGTCTCGCTCTGTCACCCAGGCTGGAGTGCAGTGGTGCAATCTCGGCTCACTGCAACCTCTGCCTCCTGGGTTCAAACGATTCTCCTGCCTCAGCCTCCCGAGTAGCTGGGACTACAGGTGCCCGCCACCACACCTGGATAATTTTTGTATTTTTAGTAGAGACAGGATTTCACCATGTTGGCCAGGCTGGTCTAGAACTCCTGACTTCAAGTGATCCGCTCGCCTGGGGCTCCCAAAGTGCTGGGATTACAGGCTTGAGCCACCGCGCCCGGCTCAACCTACACTTGTTTTATGCTATCCTAGTCTTGTTTAAGGGTACAATACTTTTTTTCGTCTCTCTAGAGATACTGATAATGTTTTGATATTTACTTTGATTCCTTGCATTGTCCCTGTTTTCTTGGAGATCCTTTTATTCTGTTTCCTTATTTGAGTCACTTTCTCTGATTTTGGAGACTTTGCTCAAATGTGAGTTTTGAGACGGAGTCTCACTCTATTGCCCAGGCTGGAGTGCAGTGGTGCAATCTCGGCTCACTGCAACCTCTGCCTCCTGGGTTCAAACAATTCTCCTGCCTCAGCCTCCCGAGTAGCTGGGACTACAGGTGCCCGCCACCACACCTGGATAATTTTTGTATTTTTAGTAGAGACAGAATTTCACCATGTTGGCCAGGCTGGTCTAGAACTCCTGACTTCAAGTGATCCACTCGCCCCAGCCTCCCAAAGTGCTGGGATTACAGACATGAGCCCCTACACCCACCTCCATTCATATTTCATGGTGAGGCTCTGTGTGCCTAGATGAGGCTTCCACTCTAGTTTTGAGAGTGGGTGTGTCTACTGGTGTTTGGGACCAGGGTGAGCTCTTCCATCAGTAGCCTCCTCAATAGCACTCTGGGGAGAGCTTCCCTGGCTTTGCCCAACAGTTACCACCCCACTCCTGCCTGCCACCTGCCAAATTTTTGTTGAAATTACTCCACTCCCATTCTCTTTGTTTTTGTGGCTTTCTTTCTTTTTTCTTTTCTTTACTCAGATTTTAGTGTGACTTTAGGAGGGGAAGGAGATACATGCAAGTGGTTGACCAGAAGTCCTTCACATTATCAGTGAACATTTTGATAATAATTTACTGAAATTTCTTCCCAACTTCAGTCTCTTTATCTTCAAGTGAGTCCGAATGCTGCACCCTGACTTAATTTTTCTTAAATATAGATCTGCTGAGATTACATCTTGCCAGACTTTTGATGGCTTCTCATAAGACAAGATTCAGAATTCCTAACCTCAATTACAAAGCCCTTCACAATCTGACCCTATTCAGTTTCATCTTCTACTGGTCTTTCTCACACTGTGACACCCTGGAGTATTTGTTCTTCTGTAAACCTGTCATGTACTTCTCTGCCTCTGTGTTTTTTCTATTCCCTGTGCCCCGAATGCTCTATCTATTCTTCCTATCTGGTCTATTCCTACTTAGTCTGCAAGGTCCAAACCAGGTTTTATCTCCTCTGTGAAGCCTTTCAAGACCCTATACTTCACCGCAGGCAGAATGTATTAACCTCTCTGTGTTCTGGTAGCGCTAGACTGATACGTTAACCTGGTAGTTATACCTCAGGGCAGAGCACTTTATTTACATTCCTGCCTCATTAGCCAGGTTGTCACTTCCTTAAAGGCAAGGACTATGCTGTCTTCTCCTTGATATTCTAAGCGTGAGCTCAGTGCTGAATACTCTGTAGACATTCAGGAAATGTTTATCAAATGAATAATGCTCATTGTGGTGGCGGTTGACTCAGTTGTCATCTCCCTCTTTTAGGCACACAAGCCATGCCCCCTCTTTTCTCTTTGGGATACCACCAGTGCCGCTGGAACTATGAAGATGAGCAGGACGTAAAAGCAGTGGATGCAGGGTTTGATGAGCATGACATTCCTTATGATGCCATGTGGCTGGACATAGAGCACACTGAGGGCAAGAGGTACTTCACCTGGGACAAAAAAAGATTCCCAAACCCCAAGAGGATGCAAGAGCTGCTCAGGAGCAAAAAGCGTAAGGTAAAATAAGCCAACATTTCTGAACCTTTTAATTACAGAGTTTTAAAAAATGTTTTAAACTTGCCTTGGCACGTCAATGGTAGAGAAACATCTGATAAAAAATGGCTGTGAAAATAGTAGATTCAAATATAATTGTCACTGTGATAAGAGAGAAAATGAATGGTGAAAAGGCGATGACCCCATCCATTCCTGGCTTAGTTATCTAGGTCCCCATAATGAAGAAAGGGTCTGGCATTTTCAGTTCCATTTGTTGTGGCCACCCTGCAGTAATATGATCTCCCCACTCAAAATTTGGTTTCCGTGTCTCAGTTGGTGACACCACCCAGGCACCAAGGGTAATTAAAAAGTTTATTACTCATATAATGAGAATTTCTGGGGAGAGCAGGGGTGGCTCCCGAGCCGGTTTGAAAATGGCTTGAGAGAACTGAGAAAGCAGATTGACTCAGTTTTTATGGTGGTTAGCGGGTGGGGACAGGGCAAGGGCTCTTGCATGCAGGCTGAAGCTTAGATAGTTTGAACCCCCTGCTGGCACCAAAGGAGGGAGCACTAGAGCTTTATTTGTTGGCTTGTCCAGATACGGGCAGAAGGGTAAGCGGGGAGTAGCAGGGCTTGAAAAACCCTTAACAGTCAAATATCAAATATAATATCAAATTCTTTAATACACTGTTTTTCATGCATGCTTCCTTGGTGGACTCCAGCTGTCAATCTGGCCAAAAAAAGACTAGAAATAGAAAATGGGGAGGGAGAGAAGCCACTGGAACATGTATCATGCTGTTTTCCAGTTCCAGGAGTGGTGGTGGTGGTAATAGCGATAATGAAAAGATGGAAGGAGAGAAAAAAATGAAGAGAGAAGTGGGGTGAAACCCTATGTGTATCATGTAAATGAATAAAGTCCCTCTCCTTGAAAGTAAGGTTGACTTTTCAACCCATTCCTTTGACCTCCCCACCAGGCTTTTCACAGATGGCCAGAACCAATCCATTTAACTCCTAATTCCCTAATTAATAAATAAGCTACCATATATCAAGCTATTATGGGCTAGGCAATATAGTAAAACACATTATTCCATCCAGTGATGACAAAACTAAAAGGTAGGTCTTGTTACCCCATATTTTAGATGAAGAAGCTAAGGCTTAGACTGGTTTCAAAATTTACGCAAAGGCACACGGTGAATAAATAGCAAGACAAGAATCTGAACCCTGGTCTGCCTGACTCCAGATCTTCTGTCCTTAATAAGTAGTTATTTACCGAGGAACCTTGAAGATGCTATACTAGTGCTGAAGAGTATACAGAGATGAGCTCCTTGTGGTCTTACAGGGAGTGAAGAAAAGGCAAGTATCCAGTCACAATACAGGGAAGTAACATAAGGGCCAAAGAAAGGTCAGGGTAGGGGACAGGCCAAGAAAGAGAAGATTGTATCCTCAAGACTTAAGCAGGGCTTTGTTTCAGAGGTGCATTTTATTTTATTTATTTATTTTTATTTAATTTTTTTTTCGGGATAGAGTCTCACTCTGTCACCCAGGCTGGAGTACCATATTGCAATCTTGGCTTACTGCGTCCTCTACCTCCTGGATTCATGTAATTCTCCTGCCTCAGCTTTCTGAGTGGCTAGAATTACAGGCATGTGCCACTATGGCCAGCTAATTTTTGTATTTTTAGTAGAGACGGGGTTTCACCATGTTGGCCAGGCTGGTCTTGAACTCCTGACCTCAGGTGATCTGCCTGCCTGGGGCTCCCAAAGTGCTGGGGTTACAGGCGTGAGCCACCATGTCTGGCCTAGAAGTGCATTTTAGATGAGCCCTGAAGGATGTCCCTAACTAATGGGTAAGCAGGGAGAAGGAAGAGGGCGGTGCAGCCAGAGGAAGGAGCATTAAGGGTGTTCGGAAAGTAGTGCACAGGCAAGGCTGACAGCAAGGCATGTGAGGGTTCTAATAGTGGAGGATCTGACCAGAAAGGTTGGGACGTTTTTGTAAACTGCTTTGTATGCATTACAAGTTTTTGAATAAGGGGTTAATATCCAGAATATATAACAAACTCCTACAACTCAGCAACAGAAAAACAGTTAAAAAGTGGGCAAGGAACTTGAATAGACATCTCTCCAAAGTAGATACACAAGTAGCCAACAAGCACAAGAAAAGATGCTCAACACCACTAATCATTAGGGAAATGCAAACCAAGACCATAGTGAAATCCCATTTTACATAATTAAGATGACTACTATTTAAAAAAAAAAAAAAAACAAGTGTTGGCAAGGATGTAGAGAAATTGGAATCCTTGTGCACCGTTGGTAGGAATGCAAAATGGTACAGCTGTTATGATATGATCGTGCCTCAAAAATTTTAAAATGGAATTACTGTATGATCCAACAATTCCACTTATGAGTATATACCCAAAGGAATTGGAAGCAGGAACCTGAACAGATATTTATACACCCATGTTTATCGCAGCATTAGTCACAGTAGTCAAAAGGTCAAAGCAACCTGAGCTGCTTGGGTTGCAGCTCCCTTGACAGATGAATATGTAAACAAAATGTGGTATATACATACAACAGAATATTATTCAGCCTTTAAAAGGAAGGAAATTCTAATAGATACTAAAGCATGGATGAACCTTGAGGATAAATGCTAAGTGAAATAAGCCAGTTACAAAAAGACAAATACCACGTGATTCCACTAATTTGAAGTAATTGGAGTAGTCAGATTCATAGAGACAGAAAGTATTATAGAATGGTAGTTGCTGGAGCTGGGAGGAGGGAATGAGAAATCATTATTTAATGGGTATAAAGGTTTAGTTTTGCAACATGAGAGAGTTCTGGAGATTGACTACACAACGTTGTGAATGTGCATACTTAACAGTACTAAACTGCACACTTAAAAAAGGTTAAGGTGGTAAATTTTATGTTACGTGTATTTTACCACAATTTAAAAATTTAGGCTGGGTGCAGTGGCTCACACCTGTAATCCCAGCACTTTGGGAGGCTGAGGTGGGCGGATCATCTGAGGTCAGGAGTTCGAGATCAGCCTGGCCAATATGATGAAACCCTATCTCTACTAAAAATACAAAAATTAGCCCAGTATGGTGGCGGGCACCTGTAATCCTAGCTACTTGGGAGGCTGAGGCAGGAGAATCGCTTGAACCCAGGAGGTGGAGGTTGCAGTGAGCCGAGATCGTGCCACTGCACTCCAGCCTAAGTGACAGAGCAAGACTGTCTCAAAAAACAAACAAACAAACAAAATTTAAGAAAAAGTTTGAGCAATGAAGAATTAAACTTTAATATTCAGGACTGATTAGAATAGAGATGAGGAAGGAGGATTAGATGGTGTTCTGGCCAAATAAAGTGTTATTGAGGCCCTAGACTGGTAGAAGTGATGGTATTACAAAGTCACGGAGAGATGCTAGAGACGTGACACTGTGGCTTACAACTTTTCTCAAATCTCCTTCCTAATATGCCTGCACCAGTGGGCTTGGGGACTTCATTTGTTTTTAACATGTTATTCTCTTAGTTTCTTTAATGTTTGCTCATATCAATGTTATCTGAGCACCTAAATGTCTAGGGAGCACGTACCCTGCCTACTTAGTTCTCTATGTATAGTATGCAGCACCCATCATCATGGACAGATAGACACTTAATGCTATTTAAAGAACATCTATTGGTTAGGCAGCAATAATTATAAAAGAGCATTGGCCTATTTTGCTTTTGTTTTTGTTTTTGTTTTTTTTCTTTTTTAGAGATAGGGTCTTGTTCTGTCACTCAAGCTGGATTGCAGTGTCATCATCATGGCTCACTGTAGCTGCAACCTCCCCAGCTCAAACAATCCTCTTGCCTCAGCCTCCTGAGTAGCTGGGACCACAAGTGGACACCACCATGCCCAGCTAATTTTTAAATTTTTTTGTGGAGACAGGGTACCACTATGTTGCCCAGGCTGGTCTTAAACTCCTGGCCTTAAGCAATCCTCCCACCTTGACCTCCCAAAGTGTTGGGATTGCAGGTGTGAGCCGCTGCACCTGGCCAGCATTGACCCAGTTTTGCTATCAGTTGAAATTCTCATAAGCACATGAAAGGTTATAGGGTTTTACTGGTGTCTGAAATACTTACTTTGTTTTGTTTTTGGTTTTGTGTCTGAAATATTTCAATACTAGTTGTAGTTGTTTGTAAAAACTTAGCCCTCAAACTATGGTGAAAACATATACATGAACATTTGTCTTACATAAAACTGATGAGACCTCCAAACCTTCATGTCCTGACAGCTTGTGGTCATCAGTGATCCCCACATCAAGATTGATCCTGACTACTCAGTATATGTGAAGGCCAAAGATCAGGGCTTCTTTGTGAAGAATCAGGAAGGGGAAGACTTTGAAGGGGTGTGCTGGCCAGGTTTGAAATCACTTTATACACTTATTATTTCCACTTGTTCTGTCCCAATTAATAAAGGCTGCATGGTGCTCATTGTGCTCCCTTGTAGATGTCTTTTGCTCCTCTAGCTACATTTTAAGCATATAATTTAAGGAAGAGATAGTATTGCCTTCTTTTATATCTTTCATAACACTTGGTACTGTATGCTTTGTATGTATTTATCAATCAATAATTGAATGAATGAAAAATAAGCAAACCTCAGTGGCATTCTGTTTCTCTAAGCAAACAGTGGTAAAAAGTTGGGGAATAAGAAAAGCGGAGGAGGAGAAAGAAAAAAGGGGGTTCTGCAAGCTCTCTCCTTGTAATTGCTCTTCACCCTTTTAGCCCATAGTTTTGGCTTCCCAGGCTTTCATGAGTGACCTCAGCCACCCTGGTGACTATGATTGTTCATTTCAAAAGTTGTTAAAAGTTATTAATTTAAAGCCTTGGTAGAAACTCCCCAAGGACAAAAGGAAAATCACTACATTGTTTAGAAATAGAGATAAAGAGTCAGCACCATCTCTTATAAATCCATGCACTGTAGAGAAACCCTGTACCTTTCTTTTTTTCCCTTTACATCCCTTGAACACAATTCTCTGTTCTCTTTAAGAACCAAGAGATCACTGCAGGATATTTACCATCCTTACTTGGGCTGTCTTAGGCCATCAGTAAGGGACAGGCTCCATCATGATGCTTGTGCATTGGCATTCCCCTGGGCCTCTGGTATTGAAAGATCTAGTGATTATCACTGGAGCCCAGCATTGCCTTCATTCACTTCTCAACAGACCATGCCTGTGTCAGCCAACTTTCATGTTTATGTAAGGTGCCCATTTCCCAGCTCTCACATCTGATATCTTCTTTACAATGCATCTTACTGTGAGGACCACTGTTCTTGACACGCTCCCTACTGTTCTGCCTCCACAGGTCTCTCCTCTTACCTGGATTTCACCAATCCCAAGGTCAGAGAGTGGTATTCAAGTCTTTTTGCTTTCCCTGTTTATCAGGTTGGTTTTTATTCCTTTGTTCTTTTCGAGTTACCTGAAAGAGTGAAAGAAGCAGAAAAAGTGATTGAATAAAACTATTCTTTTTCATTGAGTAGCTTTTCATATATAATGCTTTTATTAAAAGGCAAGTATGGCCACCACATTACAGACTCTGGGGGTGCTGGGAGAGGTGCCATATGCATAACCAAATGCACAAAAGCTGTGATTTTGACCTCTATTATAATAGACTCTATGATATATCAAAGTACTTTATAGCAGAGGTTTATTATATTTTCAAATTGCTATATATATTTTTTATATAAAATTGTATTCCATAACTGTTATTTAAATACGATGATACATGTGAAAATATCTTACAACATATTTGTCATTAAAAGTGAAGTGTGATTTTTAAATAATCTGATAAGAACCACAGAGAAAACTGGAGAGGCCACATCTGGAGAACTGTTTTCAACCAATTATGATGATATTAATGATGGCAGTGATGATGATGATACCTAATGCAAATTGAGTACTTGCTGTGTGCCAAGCACTGTGCTAAGGACTTTATGTGCATCATATCATTTGTCTTCATAATAACCCTCTGAAGTTGGAACTATAACTAAATTTAACCCCATAGATGAGGAAACTGAGACATAGAGAAGCTTAAAAACTTGCCAAGGTCACGCATCTAGTAAGTGGTGGAACCAAAATTTGAACTCAGGTCTGTTTGTCCCCTAAGCCCAGCTTTTAACCACTGAACTCTAGTTTCTGGCGTCAAGTATTAGGGCACTAGTAAACAACTTAGTACAGGGATAGACAAGCCTTGGGCCAAATCTGGCCATGCCTATTCATTTCCCTATTATTTGTGGCTGCTTTCGTACTACAATGCAGAGTTGAATAATTGAAAAAGAGACCTCATGGCCTGCAAAATTGAAAATATTTACTATCTGTACCTTTACCAAAAATGTTTGCCAATCCCTGCCTTAGATGGTTCTAAAGGAAAGATATGGTAGTTAAATATTTGGAAATCATTTACCCTTATTCATAGAAGTACACGTTTAGAAATAAAGATTAAAAAACAAACAAACAAAAAAATCAAGTAAGCCACCTCCAGGCATTTGAAAGACTTCCATGTGGGCGAGGTGACAGATGTATTCTGTGGGGTCTCAGAAGGTAAGCTAGGTAGGCTCTGCAAGGGGAATGTTATGTACAAAGAGCAGGATTTTTGAAAAATAATGGAATGAGCTGCCTGAGGGACTCCCTGTCTTTTTAGCTATTCAGTCAAATGCCAAAAGATAAGGGATTCTAGAAAAGACCAGGGATTCTGCAATACCATGTTAACTAGATGACTCAACTGTCCCTAAATTGAACAGTTCTGTGTAGAATACAAACTATAGATCATGTTAACAAACAAGTATATTGGCTGTCAAGTCTTTCAGAGTATTAGAGAGAAGGTAGAATCTTGTCATGTTCAGCTGTAGCTGCCCTTAGTTAAGAGTTATAGCATCCGATGAATGAGAAAGAGCCCAATTGTGAACATTCACAACCTTTCCCATAGGAGTCCTGCATGGAGGTCTTGGAATGAATTTGCCAGGCAATATATATTTCACAGACAACACAGGGCAGCACTCTTTTATTCATCAGCAAATATTTATTGAGATCTGTCTACGGGCCAGGTATTATTCTAGATGTTTGGGATTTATTAATGAACAAAACAGACAAAATGTCATGCCCTGTGGAACTTAAACTCTAGCAGTGGAGCAGAGGACAGAGCATAGATAATAAACATAATTTTTAAAATGAGGTAAGAAAGAGGAATGATGAGAGCTATTATATAGACATCATCAATGTGGGAGTGTCATGACCAAGGTTTACTTCCTAGGGATCTACGGACATCCTCTTCCTTTGGAATGACATGAATGAGCCCTCTGTCTTTAGAGGGCCAGAGCAAACCATGCAGAAGAATGCCATTCATCATGGCAATTGGGAGCACAGAGAACTCCACAACATCTACGGTTTTTATCACGTAAGACATCCAAAAAGAAGTAAATTGGGCTCGTGTGACCTGCCTTTTGGCTGAAAATCATTTGCTTTGTAATATAATGGCTATCCTCTACTGTTCATTTCTCTTTGTGTGTCTTTTCTGACAGTTGCAATGAGTGTTAGGTAGTAGCCAATACAAGACTTTTTATTATTTCTCCCTTTGCTTCTTTTCTTTTCATGATGAACTTTTAAATATTATGAAATTAATTATAACATAAAACCTCTGCCTCGATAGGAGCCATTAATAAGTGGCACTCACTGGCTACCACCTCAAACTTTTATCGATGCGAGCAGTGTATAAATATGTGAATGAAGGTAATTAAAACAAGTGTTTTAAGATTTCACAAATATCTACATACAGCAAGTCTTATATTCACACTGGAGGAGCAATATTTAGAACACAGACACACAATTTCAATAAGTATACTTCAAAAATGTAGAGCCTTCCTTAAGTACTTAGCCTCCTCAATAAAGGTGGTAAAATTATCTTTCATTTGCCAACTACATCCAAAAGACATGGCAGACACTTGCCCTCATGTATACTCATGGTTCTTTGTTATTTTCAAATTGTGACTGTATTCCTGTGGCCCTCTCACCTATTGGTATTTTCCAATGGGAGCTTTTGGCTAAATATAAGCCTAGTTTTCAGATAGTATGTGTTTGCCTCTGTAATAGCCTGTTGCAGTAACTGTAGACTGCTTTAGTTAGTGAGCTTTCTTATATAGGTCAGGGCCAGTCATTTAACCTCTCTGAATCTGTTTTTCCTGCCAATGAAAACTGTCTCTCAGAGGTTGTTACATAGATTATATGAGAAAATTGTATTAAGTGCCTAGCAATAGTAAGCACCAAATAAATGCTAGATGATTGTTTATTATTATTTCATTGCTATTGTTAACCAAAGAAAATTTTCCATTCTTTTAATAGGGGAATTTAGAGTAGTTTCATTATACTATGAAACTTATTTGATGGATTTATTTTAATATTTTCCATTTCATGCTCCTGCTTACTGTTTGCTTTTTGTATTTTAGATAGCTTATTGAGAATGTCTATACAAATCCAATCATCTCTTTGAAATTTTTCTTGTTTGGTGATATAGCAAATGGCCACTGCAGAAGGACTGATACAGCGATCTAAAGGGAAGGAGAGACCCTTTGTTCTTACACGTTCTTTCTTTGCTGGATCACAAAAGTATGGTAAGGAATGGCTCATATCAGACTTAAAAACACATTAGCAACTTTTTTTTAACCATTTATAGAATGTGATATTACTATGTTGATACCTTCCTTTTCTTTTTTTTTTTTTTT